CGAAATGTATTTCTTGAAAATTGACAGTTTCGTAGTGAAAGTAAAGAAAATGCTTTATGAGCACTTTACAGTGAAGTCCGTGCCCGAATTTAAGTTATATATAAAAGTTTATATGAACATTGTACTGACCTTTTAATTTCGCCGGCAGTAAACTATAGTTTACGGCCGGCGAAATTAAAAGGTCAGTACAATGTTCATATAAACTTTTCAAATATTGGCGTTGAGAAACTATTTAATACTTTTGTATTTTTGTATTGATAATAAAATAATTTTTACATTTAGTATTATTTTACAAGAAATGCACATTATTTTAACGATTGTATGACATTTGACAACTGTCAACTAACTTAAAACTAACTTCAGCGCGTGACTAAAAACTTGTTGCTAACTTCAGCCCGTGACTAGAGCGCCATAAAGCCACAACTTGTCAATGTGTATTTAAAAGGTCACTTAGTGTCATGAAAACATGTACGATAAAGGGCGTTTTAAAGGTGGGAGTAGAAAACATGTTTTTATAAGTTTTAAGAATCAATAGCGGAACCAAAACAAATTGTATTAAATTTAATACCCACAAAAATGCATTGTATTAATTAATGGCATACAATTTTAGGGCTACCCCACTGCAGGGCACTGCAAACCAATATATACAGGGTGTTTCATAATATATGCGCAGGACTTCAGGATGTGATAACTCATCCAAAAAGATGAAAAAAGTCGCTAATAACTTACGCTCTAAAATGCACAATTTTCGAGATACAGGGTGTTGAAATTTTAGAAAAAAATTCGTTTTTTTCGAATATCTCCGGAACCGTTTATCGTACAAAAAACAGCTTTTGTAAGCATTTTCTACTCAAAATCAGCTATGTTTTGTGCCAGAAAAAATTTTTTTTCCTCATAATTGGTGGAGATTTTGAAGGGGTAGCGGGTGTTTTTCTCCTCAACTTCTACGCCTCTAAAAAATGTACGGTTTTGAGAGGCCTATTCAAACCGCCAATGTTTTCTACACAAAAAAGGTACTCTTGGTCATAAGCTCTAAAGTTGACCGTTTTCGAGAAAAATCAACTTTTATGTTTAAAAACATGGTCAATTTAAAAAAAAAAAAATTTTTTTTTACTAATTAAACAAAATTTATTTTAACGTTAAAACAAGTAATTTCTGACACAAAACATAGCTTATTATGAGTAGAAAATGCTTACAAAAGCTGTTTTTTGTACGACAAACGGTTCCAGAGATAATCGAAAAAAACGATTTTTTTTCTAAAATTTCAACACCCTGTATCTCGAAAATTGTGCATTTTAGAGGGTAAGTTAATAGCGACTTTTTTCATCTTTTTGGATGAGCTATCACATCCTGAAGTCCTGCGCATATATTATGAAACACCCTGTATATATACCTATAGGTACCTACATACATTCCAAAAAATATATATGTATAACTTTAAATTTATAATAATGCGTTTTTAATTAAACTTTATCTTCGTTGATTTTATTATATGTATTTTTAAATTATTAAAATTATAACAAACAATCGTGTTGGTTTTATTAACATTGTGCGTAAATAATTTATACCTGAATTTTGTATATTATATTAGAAACAGAACCGGCTAATAAAATAGCTACCCTTAATAATAGAGATCCAAAACCAAAGATCCAGATAACACATCTGGCTAATTTTCTACCTACACCGGTAGATATTATGCATAATACGCTTGCGTATAAACAAACACATGTTCTGCATCAACATCGCACGCTCTATCAAACATTACCAAATATTAAAAATAAAAAACTGTAAACCTTATGCATTAATCAATGCCCATCCTAAATCAAATGGAACATGTCAAAGTGCACACCCAATATTCTATAATCTAGACTAGTCTACGTGCAGTAAAAACAACTAAAGCATTCACGAAAAAAGTGCAAAAACAGCTAACATTACCTGTTTAACAAGGGGTAGCAAAGTTTGTTCTATACTACGAGTTTTAATTTCTAAACAATCAAAATTTGTTGTACCTATTCCTGCCATTTTCTACACTACTAGTCATCTTTGTTTTATGCATATATTGTTGACATAATTCTATCTCCCTTTGGACCTAACCTAAAATACATAGAAGTTCCTTTAAAGAATAATGATAGATAATCAGCTGATCATTAAAACCAGTCGTGTACCTAGCGCCATCTGTAAAAGAGGGGAAGCGATTCCAGGATAGCGTGTGGAATACTTTATTTCATTCTATGTTGTATTTTTATATTTATATTTATCCCTGGTTCAAAGACTTTATTCAATTAAATTTTAATTATAGTTAAGGATCGGTTTAATATTTTACCCAATATAGGACCTATATTACAGGTAGGTAAATAAACTTTGAATCATTAAAAAAATTACTTTTTCCAAACCATTTAAAATTATATTGTTTCAATACAACGGATTTGTAATAAAAAAAGAAAAAGTTATAAATTTTAATGTCTAATTTTTTTTAAAATAAACCTATAAAATACCTACCTGTCCACCATGGTGCTTTTATTTACCACGAATTAAATTAAAGTTAAGCATCTCATTTTTAAAAAGCGAACTTTTTCCCCCAATTTCTCGTATTTACTTTGTACACAAAAGAAACGCGTTTGTTTTGGGAATAAACAAAATAAGAGCTCCTAAGAATATAGTAAGCTTTAGAATAATAATATTTGGATTATTAATAATTACGTATTATGATGGGAGTCATATGACACCACTGCTGAAAAAAACAGACATAAGCGGACGTAAATTTCGGATATGGGACTATTGAAGAAACTTTAAAGTGTTTTGAGACAGTCGCCGGTCTCTTTATATTACTCTTTCATTACTTAGTTACGAGTAAAGTGGGGAACAATATATTTAGTTTCAAAAAGGTAGCAAATATGTCACTAGCTATATATAGCAGGGTTTATAAACCCTGCTACTATTTGGAACGTAGCGCGTTATAATTACTTTTATTTTTTTTTACTTTTTCAAACTTATATTAGATTATACTATCTTTCCTTTTTTAAATGGAACCACTAAGGACTTGGCTTTTCAATGTTGTCGTTTATTAAATATGTACTGGTAGTTTATAACTTTTAGATTAACAATTGGGAATTTATAATTTAGAATTTATAAATTTATAAACCCTTTAAATTTTACTGTTGAACTTATAAATTTATGTTTTGTAAAATAAATGCGCTTCATCAATAGTTAAATATAAACAAATTATTTATTTAAAAATGTTTATGAATAAAAAAATCTTAATATTTATTATTAATTTTTTATTTATGAATAAAAAAATCTTAATATTTATTATTAATTTTATATTTAATTATAATTATAATTATAATAATTATTAATACCGTTTATATTTAACTATTGATGAAGCGCGTTTATTTTACAAAACATAAATTTATAAGTTCAACAGTAAAATTTATTAATTAATTAATAAAGATATCTTATATCTTATATCTTATATATATATATTACCAACAAAATTACTATTTATTAAAAAGGAAACAACCATTTACAAACAATTAAAATAATTTATTATTTACATTAGTACGCGGTACTTTGCAGTAAAAAATGGCCGATAAGAAGCATTTTCCTTTGAAGTAGTTTTCACCTTAATTTACGGTAGTTTTGGTTAGTATCATAAACGTTCCAATTTGGAACTTCCAAATACTAAAATAATAACTTTTAAGTTATTAACTTTGTAGTTTTTAACTAATGTTCCAGTTTCAAGATTTTAACTTGCAAAGGGACTACAAAGTAAAAATAATTATAATGTAATCTTTAGGTAGCAACTGAAAGTAACTGCTACAAATTAAATGTACCTACTTGAAAGTTTTTTTTACTTTTTTATAAAAAAAAATTTTAAAGTTGCAAAGTCTTTTTGGGGGCAACCAAGTTTTACTTAAATGTTTATTACTTTATAGTAACCATTTAAGGAAAGAATTAAGTTTCTGTTACAAAATATTGCTATTTAAAAGTTAGAATTACTTTTAAGTAAAAATTAAAGTAGCTGTTTAGTATACTTAACTAATTTAAAGTTATTACCACTTTGCAATGGTTTTTGGAACCATAAATGCTGCTTGAGAAGTTTATATAAAAATATTGAGAATGCAATAACGGATCAAAAAAATGCAATAATACGCGGTGATGCTACTTTTTTGTATACGCGGCAACGTCGCATCGTAAAAAATATTTTAGATCGATAGATCAGGAGCAATAACTTAAGTAACCAAATTTTCAGATCATTCCTATGTACCGTTCTCCGTAAACGTCTAACGTACCATCGACCATCAATCACCCTGTGTATATATAATATATATATATATATATATATATATATATATATATATATATATACTTTTTTAATTTTCTTATATTTCCCGGCTTGTTGATTCCAATTCCCTGATAAATCCAGGAAACACCCTGTAGTACCTATATTTTGTAATTTTGGTAATCCCATGTAATAAATAGTGGATTAAATGAAACAAATTTGTTTCATTTAATCTATTTAAATAGTTAGTAGCATATGCTACTATTTCAATATTTTAATCAGTTCCAGTATTTACTTTATTTAAACTAGTTTACACAGGCAAAATATTTCAGGTAAAAAAACATTTACAGTGAATTTATAAAGTTTACGACCAAAAACGCATTTATTGAAATTTAATTGGGTTTTACCGAATTATGGCACGTCATAAATCACCCTTTCATAACTCAATTCGAACGAAAATTACAAAATTATTTAACCAGTTATTTCCTACATCAAAAGGCATGAAAATGACCCACAATACGTGGGCACTCCTTCGCCTTTAATACATATAACATTAATACCTATTTAGGATTACATTTTCTCAACAGGAGGTCCAACGACCCTTTTGCAATGCAATGGTCAAATTTTAAATACAGTTCAGTAGCGTCGTCCGCAAAATTCCTATGTATTTTAATAATTATGTTGCTTTAACAAAAACTTTTCTTAAGACTTGCACAAAATGAAAATTTTGTGTATGAATCATTTCGTCCGTTAAAATACTGGTTTAGGGCCCTATTATTAAACCTTGAGGTATACCGTTAGTGCGCTACTGCCCAACGTTTATAATCTGTGCTACTGCCTCCCCACTTGTTTCCACAGCATCCAATCAGGTACCCAAACAACCTGCTGAGATCTGGTGGACCTTGTATTCAAAAATTTAAACGCTTGTAACGTACAAAAAGTAAACAATACACAAGAGACTCAAACTATAAAGCAAACAGTTAACGGTTGCCAAGGTAAATTAACTTATTTTCGCGTAAAATGTGTGGTTTATATCTTTTGTATTTATTTTTCAGATGTCCAACATTGAGGATTACGATATTATAGGAATATTGGGCGATAATATAACTTCAGCATCTTACAAAGTGAAAAATAAATCGACCGGTGGATTGTTTGTTTGGCAATCTATAAATTACGAAAGTTTAAGCGACTCCGAAAGAACTAAATTAATAAAGAAAATCCAGAAAAGAATTAACTTGAAGCATCCCAATATCTTGAAGTTTTTTGACTACATTGATCAAAAGGAAAACAAAATATTGTACCTTGTGGTGGAGTATTGTTACAGTGGATCATTAAAGAAATTAATAAAATATTGCCAAGAAAATAGGATAGTGCTTCAAGAAGAATTTGTTTGCCGCATTTTATATCAGATAGTGTTAACTATAAAAACTTTGGAAGAATATTGTGGTAATATAAGTGTGGATGAAGTGTTTTTTGATGAAGATTACAACGTTAAATTATACAACTACAATTTTAACGGGCATAAAATCAAATTAAAGGATTTAAAAATGTCTGTCTTGGGTACACTTATTTTTGAAATGTGCTCTTTAAAATCATATGACAAAAATACCTTCGAACATGATTGTAAGGACTTGTGTAATGTGTATTCAGGAAGTTTTATCACATTATTAACGCAAATGGTGAAAGACAGCAGTGATGTAAAGAAAAGTTTGGATAAGATTCTTTGTCATCCCACATTATTATTAAAGTCATCCAAATGGAATAAGGAAATTTGTTTTTTGCGAATGAATGGCGAGAGGATTAACAAAACCAAAAATTTACAAGATGTTGGAGATAAAAATACAAAAGATTCACATAGAAGCAGAGAGTTAGCTCTACAAATGAGGGAGAGAAAATTATATGATAGAGAACAAAAATTACTAAACAGAGAGAAAAAATTGGTGATCATGGAAAGACAACTAAATGATAAACTAATGCAAGCAGAATTATATTTAAAACGATGCAAAGAAACAAAACCAGAACAAAGCTTGACCAAGCTTACTTATGAAAATCTAGACTCAACTTATGTAGAATGCGGAGACTCCGTTATAATGCCTACAAGTAAAAAACTGGATGTAAACACAATTTTAAAACCCAACACATTCTCCAGAACATTTTCCGAAAAGAGAATAAGATTTAAAGGGCATAGCCCCTTAAAAGATTTGGATACAAATAAAAGAAAATCTATAAGGCTTCCAAGGAAAAAGGAAAAACTTACTTCCGAATGTAGCAGTGACTGGAAAACATGTTCCGAAAATGATTCAGAAATTGCCAGTCTAGATGGCATCAAACAAAGCAAACAACTATTTGTAGATGATGTTTGTGAAAATGAGTACGAAATACCACCAGATTGTAGGCCAATATCCTGGACACATGAAAATAAAAAATATGCATTTGAATTGTTAAAAATTATGAATGAAGGAACAGAATATGAAAATCAAGCAAATTGGAATAGAGAAGTCAGACATACCCAGTTGTAAATATTTGTAAATTTGATGGTAGTCGCTTTATAGATTTTTGTATTATGTAGCAAAGCTTATTTATTAGATTTTATTAAAATTATGTTAATAAAAATTTATATTCAATAGTGTACATACTTATTTATAGAGTGTCTCTTAAGGTACCTAGTAGTTGAATATTACAGGATAATTTTTAAGGAAATTTCAAAAAACACTTTTTGTCATTTCTGCTGTCAAATATGACAGTTTTAAACCTTAATTTTGCCATTATAACAATAAATTAACAATGTATATTGTTACTTATTTACTTTTTATATTGTTTTAAGTTTTTATTGATTTTTAATAAAGTAGTAATTTGTTAAATAAAATGTTCTATTTTTACATTATTTATCATGCTCTTCAAATTGGGATACTACCTTAGTCAGTAAGAACTTTTAACTTAAATAATAAAATCAATGGATTCTTAAAGGATGTATCAAAATTAATGATAATTAAATCATTTATTTACAATTTTGTACCTACTACAAAAAAACTCCTAAATTAAGGCCAAGAAGGTTGATCACAATTCTTCTTTCCGTACAGAGCACTTTTGTCCCTAAACAAGATCATTCTTTCTGTCTCCAAGTTGTCAATGTACCACCCAAGGGCGTACCCAGCAATGGGGAGCAGAGCCCAGGGAAAAAATTTACTAGGAATAATTTGCCTCAGCATATTTGGATTGTTGAAGTTTTGCTTTGTACTCCTGGGTATATGAATAATCCGCGTAGATTGAGTATGCCACAAATGCTGGCACAATAGTCACCAGACAGTATCTGCTTATTAGATGGCCAATTCCCATCTAAAAATTATATAATTAAAATATAACCTATATGTTATGTTAATATTAATACTAAATAATTTACATTATATAGATAACAACAATTTAATATTATAATACTTATATGTTAAAAGTTAATAAAAATACGTACCAAATAAATTCTTTTTGCAGAAAAAATTAAGGATTGCAATTGGAAATGTCAATTTGACGATGATAAGTTAGATTCCTATTTGTCTCAGCGTAGCCAACATAACTGTGAAATCCCTCTGCGTCTCAAAAATTTCCCTAGATTGACATTTTTTTCCCTAGATTTAACTTATTTGAAAAAAAGCAAAAGAAATTTTTTTACCAAAAGAGCAGACGTTAGTACGCATCGACAATCAGCGCCGCTGTTGGTAAAAAAAAAAGACTTAATTTGTGATATTTAAGCCTGATTTTTAGAATGCCTTCCTTCCTTCCGTAATAGATGAACAATACGAAAACCGTAGTGCTCATATATTTCCGTACGGGAATGATTCCCGGGGAATCTATAAACATCACTACGGTTTTTGTATTGTCCGTCTTTTACGGGAGGAAGGAAGAAAGGCAATCAGGCTTTAGAAGGCAGGTTTTGTCAATTTCCCCTATTAAGTTCGGGCTCCTTGTGTAGGCTACATGAAGGTAATAACCTTCTAAGCTTGGTAACCACAGAAATAGAAGGTTCTATTTTTGTGTTGGTAACCAAAAAGATTTTACAGCGTTGTCAATTTTTAATTTTTATTTAATTAAAGGTAAATAAAAAAATACTTTAAAAACAATTTTTTTTTATTTAACGGTCATTTACAATTAAAAAATGTCTTATCAATTTTATAAAAAAAATTAAACTTTAGGTTTTTTTGGAACAAACCTTTCCAAAATATTAAATGGTTTCTCTTGAGGCTTTACTTTCCTTGGCTGCTCAAATTTGGGTAACAAATCCTTGGTGTTACTAATAAACTCCTTCTTAGCTTCTCCTTGCAATATTTTCTTATTTTTATGCATATTGACAGTGCCTCCTTTGCCTTTAGCTTTATTTCTAGGTTGATAATCAATCTTCTTGGGTTTAATAAACAAAAGCTTATTTCTGGCTTCAACTTTATCTTTCAGAGATGCAACATCCACCTCACCAATAGCAGTAGGTTGTAAGGTAATAAGCTCAGGTTGTATTTTTTCAAGAAGAGATTTGACTTCAGCCTCTCGTCTCTGTGATTTGGTTTGAAATGGATTTGCTTCCAAACCATCAAAGTTTGGTTCACCACTGCCTGGTACTAGAAGACTAGTAAACCCTCTGGAAGTTGACACCCCCAACACATCCTCATAGGGGCAGAAGTTTAAACTTTCTATTGACGTAACAAACCTGTGCCTTAAATAAGGTTTTTTGGCTGAATTTGTGCAACAGTCTCTGTATACTTCAACAACATTACCCATTCCCACACCCAACATTTTCTTTTGTGAGAAGTTTAAGTGATTGGCAGCAGTTACCAGTTTGTAATCTTGTAAGGGACCATTTAAATTTCTTACATCCCATATTTTTAATTCTCTATTGCTTGCAGATGTTGCCATATACATCCCAGATGGGTCTACATGAAGGGCTGTAATTGGAGCCTTGTGGCACAACATTTTGGCCAGTGGTTCCCTGGAATTCGGGCTCCACATTGACACCACACCTTTAGCATGTCCAACACACAAAATAGCATTCCAAGGGTTTTGAGCCAACATGGAAAGCCTGCCCAACCTTGTATTAAGCTGAGATACCAATTTACCTATGGATACATCCAACCAACTTAAATACCCTTCATCACTACACGCCGAGAGCAAAAAATGGTAAGGTAAAAATTCCATTCTAGTAACCTTATTCAACCTTTTTATACAATGCAACTCAATGCCTTGATTATCATAAATATAAACCCAATCTTTCTGTGCTACAGCCATCATCGTCTCCACATGTAGAAAACAAACATCATGTACTGACTCCATAACGTTAAATTCACAATGTAACTTTTTTGTAACCCAGTCGAAGGCAGCAACATGACCCTTTTTGCCCCCCAAAACCAAATGCCTGCCATTTCTGGTATATCTTGATTTATAAGGCCCAAAATCTAAAGATAAATCAAACTGCTTTGCAGCAGAGGTAATGTCCACACTGTCAACAATTTGTTTTTGTGTAAATTGTGTGGTTGTCTCCCCATCGTCGGCTTCTAAAAATCCAGATTCTTCAGTTAAAAGGATCTCAGCCCTGGCTGCTATTTCAGTCGCAAGTTTTATGTCATGTTCCTTTTTCTCCAATTTCTTTTGATGCACAATTGTCCTTACTCCATTAATGTTTGCTCCTTTACCTTGACTGTACTTATTTAATAACTCTTTTGATACAGGAACCTTGCCTCTGTACTTTGGGTTTACAGTTTTTTTCCTCACTATAGGGTTGTTTTGTTGTTTCTTTTTTTTATTAAAATGTTTAGGTTTTATATCACTTATATCGAAAGTTATAATTTTATCAGAATTAATGTCAGTTGCATCTTCAGAAGGTTTTTCTTCGGATTTGTCGAAGTAACGTTTGTTTTTCTTAACCATTTTATAAATTTCACTTTATAATTGTTAAAACATTAGTTATTTAAAATAACTAAATAACCAAAATATAGTTTTTTTCAATATAAACATTAACTTCTGGTGAAACGTTTTGATTACAGATTTTATAGGTTAGAACACATGGTTCAAAATTACAGGTAATAATGTGGCAACGCTGTAAATTTTGACAGCGCGTCGTGCTTAGGTTATGTTGTTTTCTAGAATGTTGTTTACATTTTTCGTACTGCTAAAAAATGAATGAATACGGCGATAAATTGTTACCACCTGCCAAGGAAAGTGTAAGAGCAGCTTGTAAAAAATGCGGATATGCCGGCCATTTAACCTACCAATGCAGAAACTTTATAAAAGTTGATCCAAATAAGGAAATAGTTTTGGATGTGAGTAGTACCAGCAGTGAATCGGAGCAAGATTATTTAACACCTTTGACTGAGTTAAGAGAAAAAGAATTAAAGGAAAAATTGAAGGAGGTTAAATCAAAGAAAAAACATAAGAAGAAGAAAAGGAAGCATTCTTCAACGGATAGTGAGTCGGACAGTGATAGTGAATCAGAGAAGGAAAAAAAGCACAAAAAGAAAAAATCCAAGAAGCATAAAAGGAAGTCTAAGAAGAAGAGACATTCTGATTAATTTATAAGCCATATTTTGTAATTGAAGAGTGAAAATTTAAAAGCATCCAAATTGGATGATCCAATTAACAACAGCAAGTAAACTAGTTATGGTTTATTATGTACAATTATTGTTTCAAAGTACCTAAAAAATTGTCTTATTAATTTGTTGTGTTTTATTTTTATAATAATTATACCTTTAAAGGTAGTTTGAGAATAGGTTTTGGTTTAAACAAATAATTGTTATTAAGTATTAATAATTATAGTTTATAAATTAATTACCGTAAACACGGGTGGCTTTGGCTCACTTTCAAACTTCAGCTTAAAATTTTTGTGGTTTTAACAATCATAAACATTAAATTTTGTATACCAAAATTTGAGTCTTGAGTTGCTCTTTCATAATAACTATGTTATAATATAACATAGGGCTGAGTTTCAAAAATAAACATTAAAAACTGGGTGTGCAAAGTTACCCCCTAGTTGCGGGTTAGTTTGTCTCACAGTGTTTTTTCAGTATAAAATGAATGTAATATTATATTTTATTTTTATTAGACACGTGTTAGCAGCGACATATATCTATTGCAAGGGATTACCAATAAAAAAATAAAGAATCGACCTGTAGTTAACCAAGGATCATCATTCCAATGGATTGCGCATAATATAGAAATTTTAACGCGTGTATTTCTAGAGTTTTGCACTGATACGATATATACAATTTTTAAGTGTAATAAATCCCATTTCTTTCTTTAAAACACTGATTTTCCTGTAATATAAACTCAATAGAATCGCTCAATTGACAGGTTTAGACCAACAAATTATAAATGTTAATTTTATCGAGCGCGAAAAGATTTTTCATAAATGGGTTAAAGTCACCCGCGGGGTGCAAAGTCACCCGTATTTACGGTACATAATAATTATTTTAAATTTTAAAAATTCTTTACCCTACTAGAGGTATAACGGTTAGGAAAAAAACTGGGAAACTGTTTTCTGAACAATTGGAAAAAAATGAAGCAAAAGAGTAAATCTAAAATTATATTAATATGTGATGCATATGCATAAAATATAATTATGCATTATTTAACTTACATATTAATATGTATCAAGCATAGAAAAAGTATATCAAGTTTATTAAACGCCATTTAAGTCACGAATTTAAATTAGGCGCGAGTGTTTAATTAAATAAATCTATGCTATTTGGTTATATAAATGTGTTAAATTAATAATAATAAACAAATAAATCGAAATTTATCCCTTGAAAATGGACCAAGAACAGTTTTTCACAGTGAAAGTGAAGAAAATGATTTATGGGCACTCGACGGTGGAATCTCCACCCGAAATCAGTTAAATCAGAGATAAATCTAGTTTACTGCCGGTCAGCACAACTAAATATAAACTTTTTAAATATTGGCGTTGAGAAACTATTTAGTTTATCCTAAATAATATATTAATATACACTGCAGTGTGGTACTATTACTATAAGTTCAATTTTATTTTAATGTTTTTTATGGAGAACTTGACAAAATAAATTGTTGTAGTTAATATTGTGAATTTTTTTTCTTAAAATTTTTCAATAAAATTTAATAAAGGGTCGTTTTGAAGGGTGGTGAATCCAGTGCCGTGCTTAGATTTTGTTTAAAAAAATCGCTAATATGAATTCCTAAAAATTTAATGTTAAAAACTGACATAGTAGGCCTTGTATTTTGTACTAATATGGCGTATTTTGCTCCAAAAATACAGTTTATCAAGATCTACAATTTAAAACAAATCCGGTTAAAATCGCACAATAAATAAAGATTTTACAGGGGTGAGTCGCAAACAAATGGTTTACACTGTATTATTATATAAATAATTATTTTACATTGTACAATTGTTAAAATAAAGTGCTCCTCTTGAAAAGGGGCATTTTATTTTAACAATTGTATGACATTTGACAACTAACTTAAATCTAACATCAGTCAGTGACTAAAAACCTGTTGCTAACTTCAGGCTGTGACTAAAACGCCATAAAGCCACAATTGTTAAATTGTCAATTTGCATTTAAAAGGTCACTTAGTGTCATGGAAACATGTACAAAAATGGGCGTTTAAGTCTCTACACATTACTCATATAATTAGTTTGGCACTTACATGCTTTTGAATTTCTATGGAGTGCACTCTTCAGTTGTATTTGATGATATTTTTGTGATAATTAAATAAAACGTAATAAACTTGGTAATTTATTCAACACTAAGCAACAATTTTGAGGTATTTACAATTAAATGCATTCAAAAACGAATAATAAAGAGAACTACAGAATTATTGAAAAAATCAATATAATTTTAGCAACATTTATTACAATTTAATTTGTGTTGGTACTTGCATAGCCTGTCCAGCAATTATAATATGGGGGCCAACATAGTAACGAACTAACAGACTAGATCCGCGTTTCAATTGATTTCGACTGGACAAGTCTCTCCAACAATCCACCCATGATCCATAATGTGGCATAAAGTTTGGAGAACCAGCCATTAATCCTGAATTAGATACTGACATGCAGTTTGAGACTACTTGGAAGGGATAAGTAATTGCTGTAGCCAAAAACTAAAAAAAATAATTTTGAGTAGCTTATATCTACAGATATATCAGAAAACACAATTGTTTTAAACAAAAGATTAATTAAATGCCTACTTAATAATTAATACGGTATTAATAATACCATTAATAACAATTAATATAGCAATACACCATAGAATTTTTTACTTGTTTAGTTTGTTTTATTCAATATATTTGCATTTAATGAACCCAAAGTCCAAATAAAAAAATACTTTTTCCGTTCAGTATACAGAAAACTTACCGACATGGTTGCAGAAGTGTAGACTTGCATTTCTTTTTCCTCAACTAAATAAGTATTGAGGGCATAAGTTAGTGAGCTTGCAAGTAATAGGGATATTACGTCTCCCAATAATCTTGGTATAAGGCCACTAAAGAAACCAAGCACCCCATTTTGTTGGTAAACTTCTCTTATTGAACCCAAGATTCCACTACAATAATAAGAAAATTACTTAAAATTTAAGTCAAAATTTGGAGAGCTTAAATAAATTGTTTTTTTTAAGCGCAACAATTTTCATATTATAACAATTACAAGCCTATATATAGTAGGGTGCTTCATTTTAAAGCGACATTTTATTCTTACTGTACGAGCGGAAGGAGAAAAGAATAAAAAATTGTTTTTAAAGGGAAATATTTAAAAATTGAATAGCAACGACTTAAAATAAAGATTAAGAGCATTGTAATAGCTCAAAATTTTTGTTTTCTGACCGGTTACAGACTTTTCAGGTGGGACTTTGAAAAAAATGTAGCTCCTAAATGAAGCACCCTAATATATAGGCTTGTAAGTGTTAAAATATGAAAATTGTTGCCATTAAAAAAACAATATATTTTAGCTGGTATTATATAGGTATATAGAAATACTCAAAAGTCAAATTATTATATACCGCGGTAGAATAATATATTGAAATTACATAGAAATATTTAATAATGTTTTTCTTTGTCTAATTTTAATGAGATACCCAACTTAGCTTTTGTACTCATATTGTCATTAATATTAGCTACTTTTTAGGTTCTCGGTACTAAATTAATATTAATTGCATACAAACAATATTGTATCAGATCAGAAAATATAATAAAATAAATTCAAATGATGCCATTGAAAACATCCAAATAGATTTTGCCCAAACTATACCTACTAAATTATATTAGCAAAATACCAAACAAAATACTTTTAACAATTAAAACATGACAAATTTTTTATTCTGTATTTTGATAAAATAAATGTACTATATTTAGTTCGGACATGCTAGGCATGCGCATTTTAAAATTTGACGTTCAAAACTTTGAAAGTCAAATTTTAAAACGTAGTTCGGGATTAGCTCCGCGTAAACTATTGTTTGATCCTTTTTTATAAAAATATTATTGTTTGATGTATTTCTCTTTTCTAAATTTTATTTTTGGTTGTGTTAATGATATTAATTATAATAATATAATAATTATATAATAAACATATAATATTAAAATAGAATATTATTACAATAAAATACAAAGGTTTACCCATTTAATTTTTAGTAAATCGTAGGACAAAAATGTAATAGATTTTGTGCAAATGTATAGGGTAATAGTTATTTTTAAATGTAACAGGTCTATACAGGGTATCCCAGAACTTGCGCCACTGAGAAAAAGGGAACGTGCCGAAAGTTTGCGTTTGATAATTTTAATTTTTGAGTATGTGTTTTGCATAACTTTCGGCACGTTCCTTTTTTTGTGCAAAACACATACTTGAAAATTAAAAATATCTATCATTATGTTGTTGTAAACACCTCTTTTACAGCATTTTGATTTTTATATTTAACTTCTCCGCAGGCCTTAAAATTCTTAGCCCATTGGCAACACTGATGGTGATAGGGCAAAGTAGAGCCCCTACAGTATAGTTCTTATAGAAACTTTAGTGCAATTAAACCAGTGGCTCCGCCAGACGTCAAAGTTTCACTTTTTTTGGAACAAAGCATGGGTTTAATGGTTTATGGTAAATTTAAGTGTTTAGATTAAAATTGATTTATTTGGTTAATAAAGTTACTTAGGTATAGCAATATTGGGTGCAATTTTTCTGGAATTTGGGCACAAAATAAAGCAACAAAAAATTTGTGATATGGGTTTAAAAATTAGGCTGTTGTTTTTTAACAAACATAATTTAATGGCATTTGCATGATACTTACATCATTTATCCATGTAAAATTGTTTTATTTAACACCCACAATGCATATGTAATTTTATGACCCTGCTGAGAGCGGGCATAATACTTAATGCATTCCCTGATTGTTAATTTCATAAATTTAACTTCAAATAGCCTATAGGCTAAATTTAGCTTTAAGGTAAAGTTGAAAAAAAGTGAGGTTAAATCTGTCTGACAGTTGTCATATGTCAGATAAAATATTAAATAAAATTGGGGTGGTTGAAAAAAGTATTGTGTGCTACTAGACTGGGGGAAAAAAATCCATTTTTTTTTGTAAAGTATATCGAAAATATTGTTTGGGGTGACAAAAAAAATTATGGTGAAAGTTTGAGTCCATAATATTAATATTAAGAGGTCTATCATCGCAATTTTAATTTTTTTTTCCTGAGCGAGTTTTGTCTCAGAACTCCCAAACTATTGAGTTTAATAAAATTGACTCAGGAATATTTTTTGAAGAAAATTGAAGGCTCTACAAAAATGGTTTGATTGGAATTTCCCGTCAGATGAACCGTTTTCTTACAATCATGCCTTAAAAATTGATCTTTTAATTTTGGAATTTTGTAATTTATTTAAAAACCAGTACCCAAAAAACCTATAGATATTCTTATGGGAAATAAAATGCTCTACAAAAAAAGTCTTTTAACATTTTTGGCTAAATTCACTCCATCAAAAGTTATTCAAGGTTAAATTTGAAGTCAAAACAAAATTCTCGTTTTTTTTCGCTCTAGATTTTTTTTGGGTCAGTTAAAAACTTGGATTCATTTATCGATGAAAATCTTTATGTTACTGAAAAAATTACTGAAAATTAAAAAAAATAACACAGAATTTTTTCGCTTTAAGAATCTATTTTCTTTAGAAAATATTATTTTAACTTTTACCTATTTAATCGTTTAAATAATAACAATTTTGTTGTTTTTTTATTGGAAATTGTTAATTAGTTATATAATACACATTTATAAAGAAAAAAATACAAATTATCATCCATACAAAATTAAATCTACAGAGGAAAAAACAAGAATTTCGTTTTCACTTCAACTTTAACCTTGAATAACTTTTGATTGAGTGAATTTATCCAAAAATCGTTGAGTCAATGCAAAAATGTTAAGAGGCATTTTTTGTAAAGCATTTGATTTCCCATAAGAATATTTATCGGTTTTTTATGGGTACTGATTTTTACATGAATTAAAAGTTAAAAGATCAAAATGTAAAACTATACAAATTTTTAAGACATGATTTTAAGGAAACGGTTCATCTGACGGAAAATTTTATTTTAACATTTTTTGTAGAGCATTTAATGTTCTTAAAAAAATATTTCCAAGTCAATTTTGTTAAACTCAATGGGTTGGGAGTTCTGAGACAAAAACTTGCTGAGGAAAAAAAATTTAAAATTGCGATGATAGACCTCTTAATATTAATATTATGGACTCAAACTTTCACAATATTTTTTGTTGTCACGCTAAAGCATATTTTCAATATACTTTTCAAAAAAAAAATAGTTGATTTTTTTGGCCCAGGCGCATAATACACTATTCCTGCCCTTTCTTTAAAAAAAATGGATTAAATAATATTTTAAAAAACAATTTTGGCTGCAAAGGTCACATAAATTTATGATAATTTGAACAGGAAAATTTTTCAAAATTTAATACCCCTAAAATTTGCCTTCCTGTTATCTGTAATATGAAAATATGTAAAATTGCATAAAATTTTTTTAAAATATTTGACTGTTTTATCTTTTCTCTGACTTCTGACTTTCAGTAAGTAATATCATTGTTCTAGTTTTGGGACATTGCAATGTATTCCCAATTTTTAAGTAAAAGTGATAGGTAAACATTAAAAACTTATACTCTTAAAATAAGTCTAAACTTACACATATTTGGATTCCCTTCCAACAAATTGTGCCATTATTCTTACAGTAATAACATGGAATGGTTGACTTACAATTATGGCAGCTGAATGCGTCAGTAAATCACATTTAACTGACTTTAAATACTTGTTCCACCTTAAATAATATTAATACAACACATACAAAACACTAGATAATAATTACTAATACCTTATATCTTCAGGTTCTTGTTCGTTTTCATTTTCATTGTCGGTAGGTTCCATGGAGTCAATAATCTTCTGAGTCACAACAGCACTCAATAAATTTCCACATACTTTGGGCCCGAGGCCCCTATAACAACCCGAAATACCATCCACGGATTTGATATGTTTCACTGAAATATTAACCAAACTTTAGCATGTGAATGGAAAATAATGGATCAAAACATACCATATTCAAAGATATTTGGTAATTTTAAAGCTGGCTTCCCAAAAAATGTTGTTGTTGGTCGGGGGGGAATTGGTTCATATCCAATCTAAAATTTTAAAGTGACATTACATTGGCCATGTCAAAGTAAACTTCACCAACCTGAATTAAAACTTTTGCGTATTCAAATGGATGTGATGCCGTGTTTACTATAATTCTTAACGCATAGTTAGACCACTTATTCTCATTTTGTCTGGTCATGTCTTTAGAATTTTTAATTTTTTAAATTTTAAAACAATCGGTAATATGAAGTAGCTGTCAACCCCGGCACAACCATAGAACACAACCTTGATTCTAGTTTATGAATATAAAAAAGGAGTATCTTTAATGCTATTTACTCAATTTTATTTAAAGAAAATAAACATCTATTGACAAATAACAACAATAACTTAAAGAAATTAAAAAAGAAAAATCAATTATCCAACAATAGTTAAAAAACTTGTTGGTATTTTTGAACTACTATTATACATAATACAAATTGACAAATTATTACATATTAAACAATAGCGTAATTTTGTCCAAAATTTTACTCTGAATCATCGGGATAAATATCCTATGCCCTTATTAAGAAATAAACTAGTTTCAATTTTAGTTAAAATAGCCGGGACCGGCTGTCAAAAACCTAACCTTACTTTTATCAACAATTGAAAACTTCAAGTCATAGTGATTTATTTGAAATAAATTATTTCATAGCAGAAAATACAATAAAACCGATAATGACTAATTTCTTTAAATCCAGTGAACCTCTCGATTTAAATGAACACACACTGATAATTCCAGGCGTATCAGTGGGAAATGTTCCGCAATTTTCAGTGGATTTATTAATTACAACGTTTGATTTGAAAAAAGTGGCAACAATTTGGCACCCAGGAATAGTGTCGTCAGTTGGAAATGATCCATTTACACCGGATTCAACTGAAATATGCACAGCTTGCGAACTGTACTCCAATAAAGAATCAAAAATATCTGCTATACAGTTACGTTCAACATTGGAGTTTAAACTGGTTAAAAATTTTATTGAAGATTTAAAATCCGCTTTGGGAGGGTTTAAATTGAAGAAAATTGTTATTCTGGCAAGTGGTTTTGATTATGAACTCCATACAGTGAGCAGCAACAAATTCTTTTATGTCAGTAATGATGGTGTTGATAAATTAATGAAAGATAATGGGGTGAAAGCACTTGAAAATGATGCAAATGAAAAATATTATATTCATGGTGATGGGTTTGGTTGCATTTTGTTTAGTATTTTAAGTGAAAAATTTAAAACCACTATTCTTGTTAAATATGTTTCTGAGGGTGATAATATACCAGATGCATTTTCAATGTTTGAGAAATTATGTAGGATAATAGATTTAAAATTTTCTATGGAATCTATACAAATACCATATTCATGGAAAAATGTTTTTGGTGGTCCTCCCCCATTAGGAATCTTTTGAAAAAGGTATAAAAAATCAATATATTTTTATAAAATGTAATTTTGTTTTATTAAATAATCAACATTTATTTATTCTATGAATACTCCTTTAGTAAAAGATACTATAACATAAACGAAAAATCCTCCAACAAGGGCAACTCCAGTTGCACTAAAATACACATCATTTTTGATAATAGGTACAGGGTATATTGAAACTTACACAGTAACACATATGAAAACAATCAGAAAATCATTTTCATTTAGCATTTCCAATTAATAAAATCTGTAGTACACTATTCTCACATAAGCTAGTATTGAAAATATACAGCAAATAAATAAAATACTACAATTATTAATTTAAATTAAATAAGCCAATTAAATAATTTCTTACATGCTTGTTATAATGTATATTGTTAATAAATCTCTGCTTTTCATTATATTATTTAACTTTTCTAAATGACAAGTGTCATGTTTTAAGGCGAAGTTACATGTTTACCATAAAAATAACGCATTTTTATGTGGAAAAAGGGTCTGTTTAATAAATTTCTTGGCTTAAAATAAAATAATTCTTATATCCAAAGTTGCTATGCCCCTGGACAAGGGATAGGTTGGGTGGGTGGTTTAGCTGCTAGTATACTGGCTATAGCCAAATACTTTGCCGATATTGCTAAAGTTGCTTTAGTTTAGCCACTAGGGGTCTTCTTTTTATCGTAAAAACGTGTCAATTGGTTCAACCGTTTTTGTAGTTTATTTTTTGGACATTTTATAATTTTAACGAGCGTCAATAAATAAAATACTACAATTATTAATTTAAATTAAATAAGCCAATTAAATAATTTCTTACATGCTTGTTATAATGTATATTGTTAATAAATCTCTGCTTTTCATTATATTATTTAACTTTTCTAAATGACAAGTGTCATGTTTTAAGGCGAAGTTACATGTTTACCATAAAAATAACGCATTTTTATGTGGAAAAAGGGTCTGTTTAATAAATTTCTTGGCTTAAAATAAAATAATTCTTATATCCAAAGTTGCTATGCCCCTGGACAAGGGATAGGTTGGGTGGGTGGTTTAGCTGCTAGTATACTGGCTATAGCCAAATACTTTGCCGATATTGCTAAAGTTGCTTTAGTTTAGCCACTAGGGGTCTTCTTTTTATCGTAAAAACGTGTCAATTGGTTCAACCGTTTTTGTAGTTTATTTTTTGGACATTTTATAATTTTAACGAGCGTCAATATAATATTATAATATATGTATCCAAAAACAACCTGTGTGTTATGTATTTTGAATAAGTTATGTATAATAACTATCATATTATAATATTGATTAAATACAATTAATAGAGCTAGAACCTAGGTTTGATTAAAAAACAACACAATTTTAATGATTTTAAAAAGTATTTATTTTTAAAATTGTGGAACTCAGTGAATTTAAATTTTGAAAACTAAAATAATTTAATTCTATCTGTAGACCCGCAGCTTCACTCGCTTGGTTTTAACTTAAAACTTTTAAGGGAAAAAAACGCCCCCACCGCATAATATGCGGTGGGGGGGTTTTTTTATTATGTCAGTGAAAGTAACAAAACACAAAACACTTTTTTGTGTACATCGCCTTCTGACAAAAAAAAACAAACAATAAACAAAAACATAACAACCCTCTGGCTCCGTTGCTGCGCAAACAAATACGCAAACATACTTTTGCGAATAGATATTTCCGGATTTATAAACCCAAGTTATTTGCTTACCATTGCTAAAGTTCAACCATTAAGTAAGTCAATGGTTTAACACCGTTATTATTGGAGCTACAAAATCGGTTAAATTACCAAATTTGTGGCATTTTTTCTTCTGATTAAAATAATTAAAATAGAAAAACAATTGAGGTCCGAAATATTCACAAAAATATTTTTTTTTAATATTATAATTTTCAATGAAAATTGAATTCGGCCAAATTTTTTTATTGCACAACTACCGAAAAAAAAAATAAACAATTATAATTAATAAGCACTTTATGATGGTTACTTACCATTAGTTGTTAAAATAACCAATTTAAACAACAATTAAAAAGTTCAAGTGCATATTAATTGTTTATTTTTAAGTTCTAAATTATTTTTTTAAAGTTGCATATACAGCTTGTCCCAAAAAATTGCGATTTAAGTGACTATTTCGGAAATCCGACGTTCAATTGAATCAGTGAGATTAAGAACAGTAGTTAAAATTTTGACAAAATATTTAAAAACACCAGTTTTATAGTTCAAAATAGGTACATATGTTTGTAAGAATATTTTAATTATTTTATATAATATAATATTCTTATTCTGTCAAATATTTGAAGAAGATATAAATCATATGATTTATATCTTCTCACAAAATGTATTTTGAACTTTAAAATTGATTTTAGAAAAAGACTTGTCAAAATAAAATTTTTGGACTGTTCTTAATCTCACTGATTTAATTGTTTTTCTGTTTTCACCATTTGAATCAAAAGAAAAATGTCACTAATTTGCCAATTTAACCAACATTGTAGCTAGGACATGGTGTATAAAGGTGAGTCGCTAAAGGTTCCTGAAGATTTTGAAAAATTTTCAATTCTAGGAATTTTTGGAAACTTGGCAAGCACTGCTAAATAATGCAAGATGACTTAATGAAGGTATCTCGACGATTTGGAAAACCTCCCAGGTTATGAGAATTTTTGTTAAAACATCCCGGATTCTGGGAATTTTTAGGAAGAAAAATTAAAAAAAAAAACAAAAAAAATCCAAAAAGGCAAAAAAACACGCAAACTTTCGCAAATAGATGTGTCAGGATTTGTATATACTAATTTGAAAATTTTTGTCAAAAAATGTTAAATAATGCAAGATGTCTACTGAAGGTATTCTTAAAATTAAAAACAATTCCTGGGTTCTGGGAATTTTTGGAAACTTGTCAACGTTGCATACATTTTCTGTAAATTTTTGAAAAGAAAAATTAAAAAAGAAAAAAAAATAGCCTGTTACCCTCCTGCAAAAAATCACGTCGATTCGTTGTTGCCTGAAACAAACACAAACTTTCGCGAATGTCAGGATTACGAAAACTTAACCAAAGAATTCTGAAAATTGTATAACTGTTTAAAATCTCAGAAATTATAATTTTTAAAACATTAAAATTTTTATAATCGAATATTTTTAATAAAAAACGCTTTTTACTTTTATCTTTTAATAAAAGAAAAAATGTACAATAAGTATTTAATAAATATTTGTACAGATAAGTTTGGGTTTGGGTTCATATATTGTATAAATATTTAATTACCAGGGGCAGATTTAAAGCATCAAACTTTAAACTCTTAGCCCCTGTTAATCACTATGAATATAAACAATTAATATAAAAGATAAACTATAATGTGCAAATGATAAGATTAAACATCTTGAGATATTGCTTCAATCGGGGCATGTTCCATTTCTTCATCTACTTCAGTTATAGTTTCTATACTATTTTGTCTATTTGTACTTGCTTCTACAGCAGGTTCACTATTATTACTTTCTTGCAAAGAAGATACTTCTATTCTTTTTTTTGTAAGCTGTGCCATGAACTTGGTAATATTTGCTATGGAGGTTTTGTCTTGAAGTTCCTAAAAGTAAAGATAAATTATGATATTTTATTTTGCATTGATTGAGAAAGCTTACATCTCTGATTTCTTCACTTAATTTTAATAATTCCAAAAATCCAGACTCTTCTTGCGGCAAATCCAAGAAACAAAGAATTTTTGAATAAATTATAGTCATTTTGCTTTTAGGCTTGTCTAACATTTCGCAGCATATTTTTCTCGCTAAATTCCTTTGGATTTGTTCGTTTTGCTGTGTAGTCCTACATAGTGCCAACATAAACTTAACAATATTTTCAATATTAACGTCGGCCAATGGACTAACTCTAGGCGCATGCGATAAAGCCTTGACTGTTAACAGTACAGCGCCCTCTAGCTGATCCGCGTTGTCAACCACCGAAGGGATTTGTTGCAGTGTGAAGCCAATCAACTGCTTCAAAGTTTCAAGACCGGGTTCATCTTCGTCTAAAAAATGTTACATTTTAAAACATTATAAAATGTATATTTAAGAACAAGCTCCGGGCGTTTTTACTTCGTATCATTGCCGCTTTCGCCTCCATTTTGAAAATATGGCGCCCAAAAAATCTTCTTTTTAACTCATTTTACAATAAAAATAGTAATATGATAAATTACTAGAAAAAATGTTCTATAATTTATGTCCAAACCTTCTTTTTGTAAAAAGAATAAATTCAGAGTATGAGTATTGGCGAAAACTCATTTCCACACCACCATTACCTAAAGTAAGTGGCGTATTTTTTATGGCATCCCCAGTAACCGCAATCCAAATTACAAAATTTAGTTCACTATCCCAGATCCAGGTTTTGCGTGTTCATGTTCAGAACCGAGCAAAACGTCAAAGATAGAAATGTTATATTTTGAGAATGCACTATATTTTGTGGATAAGACCTCATGGTGGTGTGGAAATGAGTTTTTTCTCACCAATACAATGTATTGAATACATGTAAAAGTACAAATTTTACAAAAAAAGGCTAAAAAGTAAATTACAGGAAATTTTGTGTAGTTTAATTAGAAAGGAAATATTGCCAAAAAACGGTTTTTGGCGTCATTTTTCCAATACGGTTGCGCAAGCGGCAGAGATATGAGGTGGCAAAGTAAAAATTCAAAAAGAACACGTCGAAATCTATATAAGAACCAAAGTTCAAAACTCCCGCAAAACTTTCCAAATGACTGGACTACGCTATTGTACTTATTTATTTAAAAAAAAATTAACTATAGCGTTTTGAAAAATTATAATTATTATTATATTTTTTTGAAAAATTACAATAATATTTCTTCAATGTTTCAAATGTGTAAAAAGTTAATTTCGGTTCATTTTCTTGTTTTAATTTAAAAACATATGTAAAATATTTTTTTTGCTTCCAAGAAACTCACCGAGTTATAACTATAATATAGTACTATGGATAAGTCAATAAGATCGCTAGAACGCTTGACAGGTGACACAAGAGGCTAAGAAGCATAGCTTCTGTTATGAGTCCACTTAACAAAACACCTGCTCTTTTGTTTTAATTGTTATTTGAATAGTACCAATGAAAGAGTACTTCTATAGGTACATAGTATCACCATTTGAAGAGTTTGATAAATATAAAACAGTATGACGGGACGACAAATTTAGCGGTGCCAATGTAGTAAAATCCAAACGTTGTATTTTAATTAACATATTACTACTTTATTACAAATTAAATAATCATTAAAACCTAAATTGAAATAAAAAGTAAATAAGTAACAATATGAATTGTATTGACAGTTAAAATTGTTACCTATTAATTTTTATGTTGATTTTATTAAACATTTAATTCGTAATAAAGTAGCAATTTGTTAATTAAAATACAAAGTTTGGTACTTGCCAATGCTAAATTTGCCGTCACGGCCTACTGTTTTGTATTTATCAAATTCTTGAAACCTTAAATAGACGTATGGGAGCACTATTTAACAGACAGAAACTATGCTTCCTAAGCTCTTAATTAAAAAAAATGTTTTGTTCGAAATGTGCAATAGACAATACGCTAAAGAAGTATCGGGTTTACGCAACGCGCGCGCATCTGGTGAAGTTAAGAATTGTCAACAATAAAGCATACGAACTGTACATCATTTTTAAATAAATAGGTAGTTTTTTCACAAAAAAAGGAAGGCAGAAGTCTTACTCGACAAATTTTGTTTAATTGCTAAATCGCGCACGTTATTTGTGTTTCACGTTGCAAGGAAAAAACTAAAAAACTGGTTTAGTACTCGATTTCGATTGATTATTCTTTAAATCATTGATTAAGAAGCTCAATGCTTAAATGCTTATATAGTTACGTTAGTGTGTGTATTTTATCTAAGGGATTATGGTGAATTATTGTTTTTAATTGTAAATGAAATTCAAGAACTAAATTGTTGCATTTTCATGTTTTGCCAAAGAATCCAATTCGGTAAGTACATTTGTTGGTGCAGAATCAACTAATGATAACTTTACCTAATATAATTTATATTTAAGTTTGGACATTTTTAAGAAATTATTAAAAAATAATGTTTGCACAAACATAACCTTAAAATCAACCATTTTTATATCTGAGTTCTCTAAAAAAACGCCGACAACTGCAATTTAAACAACAAAATATACCTATGAATTCATGGCAAAATAATATTATATATAATACATAATATAATGGTATTTTACCGTTGAGTGGAGACTGCAAAGAATTCTTAATCAACGCTTTTAATAATGTTGTTTAAATTTAGACGACTTATTTGTTTGACGATTTTTACTGAATTGAAATGTTTACACTTTTCACGTTAATCATTACTAAAATGTGTATTTATTGTATCTAATAAATACAATTTATATTTACAGGGACTGTATGAAATTTATTTTTTCATTCGGATTAACAATGTTTATTGGAAAACCGATAAAAACTCAACCCAGGATTTCCTCTCGAAATACACCCAACAACACAACAAATCGTGCTGGCACGGGCCGGGGTTTTTTTTTCGATATTTTTTAACATTTTCCGGCTTTATTCTCAAAAACACTCGTTTGTAACACACGCGTTTGACAGCTGATTATCACAAGTTCTACTTTTGGCGCTACTAGCTATACTTCTTTAGCATATAGTAATGAGTGTGTCACCTGCCAAGTTCAAATTATCAATCTTTTGAACAAAAAATATCAACACTTTTAAATTAACATACTAGACATTAACTATATTTGTGATTTTTTTCTTCATATTTTTCGATGCTCCAGAAAAAATATGATTATTTCGTGCCGCGGAATGTCAGAATGACAAGATGTCAAAATTTTAAACCAATCGGTCCGTCGAGTGTTGCCATAGGCACCAATCCACAAAATTTAATTTGTATGCCAAACTGATATATTTAGATTGGTAAATTTAAAATATCTGTTTCTTATATTTGTATTTTTTTGTTAAACACATATTTTTAATTCGCTAAATTAAAAATATTATAGGAGAAATTTTTAAATGCATTAAAAATATCATAGGAGATATTTTAAATTCATTTTAATTTTTATTCTTTAAGATAAGCAGATATTTTTAATTGAATGTAATATTTTGAATTCAGATTAAAAGTTTGGACACCCCTTCTATTCGAAACTAATTCTGTCGTTAGATGGCGCACTGACCCAGCGTGTGCTGAACAAGGACAAGTTAGGGGACATCCATTAATTACGTGAGATAAAAATAGGAAGGGAGGGGTCTGGCAAAATCTCACCAAATCTCATTTTAAAGGAGGGGTTCATTTAAAATCTCACGTCAACTTTTGGGTTTAAAGAATATGTATTATAATTCAAATTTGTTAAAAAAAAGTAATCAATTTTTTTTGGGTTTATCATGTCCGCAAAAAAAGTTTGATGGCTAGAATCTCACCAAATCTCACCAAAGGGGAGGGAGGGGTCCAAATTATCAGAAAAATGCCTCACATAATTTTTGTGGCGTTTGGAATAACTGGGGTATCCAAAGTCTCAATCAGTCGGAATTAAAAATATCACATTCAATTAAAACCATCTGCATTAAAAAAAAAATTAAATCGAATATAAAATTTCGAGAATTAAAAATATGTGTTTAACAAAAAAAACAATTCAAAGAAGTAAATATTTTAAATTAAATATATTAAAAATATTAGTTTGGCATAAAAATTAGATCTAGTTTTTAAAATATATGTATACATAAAAAAATAAATTTAATTTGTATGCCAACCTGAAATTTTTAAATTAGTGCATTTAAAATATCTGTTTCTTATATTATTATTTTTTTGTTAAACACATGTTTTTAATTCACTTACCTAACAAAAAATTAGATTTAATTAATATGGCTAAGTGATATTTTTAATTTAATGAATTTAAAATATTTGCTTGTTAAATTTGTATTTTTCGGCTTTGATATTTTTAAATTAGCGATTTAAAATTATGTGTTTAACCAAAAAATACAAATATAAGAAGCAAATATTTTAAATGAACTAAATAAGAAATATCAGTTTGGCATACAAATTAAATCTATATTTAAAATATCACTCTAGGGTTAACACATAAAAATAATTCATGAATAAAAAATAAAACGGCGTCTTTTTAAACATTTATAAATTAACAAATATTGAAGGTTGGTGAATTAAAAAATTCGCTTGTAAAGTACGACATATTAAGACATTGTTTACAACATTTTATTTAATTGCATCCAATTTTGAAAATGAAAAATAAACTCAAAAATTATGCAGCATCATTTGGGGAATCGTATTTTATTTATTTAACAGAATAAACTAATAAAAAACAGAATAAACTAATAAAAAACAGAATAAACTAATTAATTTTGAAAAAAATTTGGTTTCACGAATTTTGACTGGGCTTTGAAACTGAGCATTTTTTAAAAATGTGCCAATATAAATTTTGATCAGTGGGTCATGTTCTACAATAAATAAAATATAGCCAAATTCACTGGGGCCCAGTATTAGTCCGGGGTTCTTTTTCGAAAATAGTATTAAATTGAAACAAGCTATTAGTTTTAATAATTAAACTACTTTAAATTAAGGGTGACAAAGCATAGTTTCTTACCCGCTTTCCGATGTCAGTAAATTACAAGTAAAAGTGTGGATTAATTCATAAATTAAACCTTACTTCAGATGTAAAGAAAACTGGATTTAAACATTTTAATACCGATATAAAAAAGTCCCTTTGAAAAAATGCATATTAAAATATTACATACCTGAGGCAGGACTACACCATTTTAGAATAAGCCTAGAAATTAGTGATGCAGACTGAACTCTTTCGCTTAATATTAAACTGCATAGCGCCCTGCCAGCCATCAGTTGAATTTCCACATTCTAAAACATTACGTTTTATACATCACATTCAACAAAACCTAATAAAAAAGGTCATCCTACCTCGTCGTCCATAAGGTCCACCAAGCCTTGTATTAGATCGGTCAGAGACGTTCCGCCCGAGAAAATCCGAACGTGTTCTTCGTCCGTGCTTTCGGACAAAATTTCCTCCTGCGGTTCCGCTATCAATTTTGAACCGTAAATCCGAATCAAATCGACTACTGCGCCGATGCACACCATCAGAATCAGCGTGTCGCATTCTTCGCCTTGTTGGTATGCAAATATCTAGGAAGATTTTCAAAATTATTCTTTTCGGCGAAAAAAAATGTTTTTCCGGAAAAAAAACGGAAAAATTGGGAAATTTTCAGAAAAATTGTATTCGATTTTTTTTAACGTTTTCAAAAAGAAAAATTATTTTTGTTTCTTTTTATTTTTGTAACTAACGAACGATAGGTCGTAATGTAAAGTTCTTGACATATTTTTGTAGAGAATTGAACGCTCTACAAAAAAGGTTTCTAATAATTTTTTGAGAAATTTGATCCTTCCAAAGAAATTTAAGGTCAAAGTTCTAACTTTTTTGGCGAGTCTACCCAACGCATTTAAAATTTATAATATTTTTGTGGAGAATTGAGCTCTCTACAAAAAAGGTCTTAAGTCATATTATTCAAGGTTAAAGTGAAATTAACCTTCAATTCAGTCGTTTTCTCAAAAAAACTCCTGGATTTTTTAATTCAAAGGGCTAAAAACGAATCGAAATATTGTTTTTGAGCTCTAGAAATTCGGAAAAACATAACTATCGATATTACGATCTCGAAAAGCTCCATAAATAGCTTGCAGGGTTATTTTTTTTTTTTAGAAGATGACGTTTTAACATGGAGCAGTAATGATGCTTACAAAGAATGTTTTTTCAATACTCAGCAAAGATTTAGCTAAACGAGGCGTCGCTTAGATTGACGAATATAACAATTACCTCACTAAAGATGAGCAACAACTGCACTATTTATTCAAGTAGTTCGCGACCATCGACAGAGATATCCTAACTGCAAAAAAACAACTCTTCAGCAAGAACAATTTTAATTAAATTGGTAAAAATTATTATTAGATGTAATAAAATTAAAATTATAGGGAAATAAACATATTAAATTTTGTTAAATAGAACCGCTTGCCTTTTGATTTACATCATACAAAATTGGAAAAAAGAATAACCCTGCAAGTTTTTCGAGATCATAATATCGATAGTTATGATTTTCCGAATTTCCAGAGCTCAAAAACAATATTTTGATTCGTTTTTAGCCCTTTGAACTAAAAAATCCAGGAGTTTTTTTTATAAAAAACGACTAAATTGACGGTTAATTTCAATGTTACCTTGAATAACTTTTAACCAAGTTTACTTACCGAAAAATGACTCTAGACCTTTTTTAAATGAGTCGGGCAGACTCGCCAAAAAAGTTAAAAAACCCAAAACTCAAATTTATCAAAAAATCATAAGAAACCTTTTTTCTAGAGCGTCCAATTCTCTAAAAAAATATAAGAACTTTACAGTACGACATATAATTGTTCGTTAGTTACAAAAATAAAAAGAAACAAAAATAATATTTCCTATGTTATTTTTACTAAAGTGGAGTAAAATGGTTGTCCTTGGCACTTAAGGCCTTATTTAAAGCTTACAAGTATCTCTGTAAGAAACACAACGTTTAAACCGATTACACTGTGCGACAAATTTTGACCTTACAATTTGAACTGGGATGAAATGTGGAAAAATCGAATCTATGCAACTCCCAAAACTAATCTTTAAAGGGGTTTTGCTAGTTTAGCTCGAATAATGGAGATATACAGGGTGTTTCTTTTAACTTGAGACAGCTCAATATCTCGAGAAATACGCATTTCACGGAAAAATGTCTTAAATAAAAGGTTAATGTGACCAAAGGGGACATTATTTGGTGCTACCGCTAGCCACCCCCTACCCCTCCTTAAGGGTGAAACTGGGGGTAACTTTGGAAAGTCAAATGGAATGACCCGATTTTTTTCACAGAGTTTGGTAGTACATAAAAAAATGAATAACTATTATTTGAAAGTTTTTTTCAATTTATCAACAGATGGCGCTGTAATTCAAAATTTAAGAAAAAGGGGTTTCCTTGTAAAATGTATTATTTGAAACGTTTGAAAAACAAAAATTAACATTAAATCAACAATAGTCGGCTCTGAAAACAATTTATAACAAATGTTCGAAATGTCGTCCTTGGTGTGAAATGGAATGACGACATTTCGAACATTTGTTATAAATTGTTTTCATAGCCGACTATTGTTGTTAATGTTAATTTTTGTTTTTCAAACGTTTCAAATAATACATTTTACAAGGAAACTCATTTTTCTTAAATTTTGAATTACAGCGCCATGTTGATAAATTGAAAAAAGTTTTAAATAAAAGTTATTTATTTTTTTATGTACTACCAAACTCTGTGAAAAAAATCGGTTCATTCCATTTGACTTTCCAAAGTTACCCCCCGTTTCACCCTTAAGGAGGGGTAGGGGGTGGCTAGCGGTAGCACCAAATAATGTCCCCTTTATTCACATTAATCTTTTATTTAAGACATTTTTCCGTGAAATGCGTATTTCTCGAGATATTGAGCTGTCTCAAGTTAAAAGAAACACCCTGTATATCTCCATTATTCGAGCTAAACTGGTAAAACCCCTTAAAGGATTTGTTTTGGGGGTTGCCTAGATTCGATTTTTTCAGATTTGATCCCAGTTCATTTTTTGTGTTGCACAGTGTTATTAATCTGTATAAACAGTACAAACCCAAAGCACAGGAATTGTAAACAACAAAAATGGCCGCCGTTAAAGTCTGTGCAGTGTTGCAGTGATTTCTTGTATTTTTAGTACGAGATAGAACAGACCTTGTTGTGTGGATTGTGGCTAACTGTTTTTTTTTAGTGAATTCCCCAAAATTTAAAAATTATATAATAAAAGCATAAACGAGTGTTGTACAACAAAATTTCCTTTAACCAGCTATTATTGATTAATTCGCAATTTATTAATATGTTGTTAAACAGGCTTTTATACAACTGGGCCTAAAAAAGTTATATACGAGGGTGAATCAATAAGTACTCGTGTTTAAAGATAGATGGCGTTAGTGGAAATTGGCTTTCATATACTTACCACACATATACCGCTTATTGCCTGTATTTTGAATAGATGACCTTGTTCCCGTTTTTAAGGGGAGGGTGGCTACTCTCTACCTTTTGCGCACGGTCAGTTCAAAAGTGGGAGATTAAAAAATCAATAATGTTTGTTGGTTATGAATAAATACAAATGTCAGTTTAGGAATTTAGGTTATTTTGGAAGAATATTAAAAAACTAGTTTAAACATCCGAAAAGTAGCATAAAATAATTACTTTGTCAGAAAAATCACAAAATGGAGAGGATAATAATATGACTTTAATTGTGTTTATTTATTCTTTAGGCATTCAAAAATTGGGATATTTCCAAGAGTTTTTAAACCTACCCATCTAAGGCATAGGTAAAAGGATCTAGGATTTAAGGACGATATATAGGATTGGTTACATTAGTGCTGTTGTAGTGTTTTAAAAAAGTAAAGTTATACGCTTCTCGCTTGGGTAATAAAATGCGACGTAGCCAAATTTCTAATGCTAAACAACATTTTTATAAAATTAAAAAAATATTACTTATTTTTATTATTAATACTTAAAAACATTATTGATATAATTTTTTATAAATTTTGCGATATAACATAATTTATAAGCTTTATAATAACGAAAATTATATTAGAATATAATTACATCTGACAACACGACCACACGCATGTGCAAAAATGCATAAGTAGCTAGCTCCTACTTTAACCCCACGAAAAGGAAACAGCCTGAATCCAAAATGATCTGTATATGTGTGGTAAGTATATGTTGGCTTTACCATCTGCAAAGATTTTCTTTTGTTTTATTAAGATTTTTTGAAAAAAAAGTTGATATTGCATAAATAATAATTGAGGTTGCTTATTAAAAATAAGATGATGAGTATATACGAGGTGTGTTCAGAAAATATCGGGAATTTTCGTTTTTTGAAACAAATATTTATTTATTCGTCTACATTGGATATTATGCACATGTGCCAGCTCTTCTTCCAATACTCGAAACACTTCTAAAACTCGATCTTTGGGATAGCCTTTAGTTCTTTCAGCGATGCGCTTTTAATGTTATCTATGCTTGCAAAACGACGGCCCTTTAAGATTCTCTTTATTTTTGGGAATAGGAAAAAGTTAGACAGAGACATGTCTGGCGAATATGGAGGCCGGGGCATCATTACAGTATTGTTTTTGGCCAAAAATTTTGTTCAAAATTTAACAATTTGTCATGCGTTTCAAAAAATTTCAAGGGATGAGCCAATCGATATACCAACATCATCAGCGACTTCTCTGATGGTTTATAACCATTTCTTCCACTTTTTCCATGTTTTTATCGGTTGTTAATATGCTTGTGCGTTCGGGGCGTTCGTCATCTTCAACGTCTTCAGGGCCATCTTGGAAATTCTTATACCACTTGTAAACTCTTGTTTTACTTATAGCAGACTTACAATAGGCCTCTGTTAACATTTCACAGAATTTATTTCATTTTTTTAAGCAAAATTGGATACAAATTCTTTGATTCATTTCTTTTAACGAACGAAAAATCGCCGAGCTCATAAAACACGTCTAACCTTAGCGGCTGCCACAGACAAAGTAAACAATGAAAACAGCTAAAGTTTTTATCATACTTTGGGGGCATGTATACCAACATAATAAAGTAAATTTTATGACAACCGGACCCTCCGAACACGCGAAATTTAACAATTCCCGTTATTTTCTGAACACACCTCGTAACTTAATAACTATTATAATAGCTTTTTTTAAACTACATAAGTTATAATAGTATAATGTTTTTTTATTTCTAACTTTAATAGTATTATTCCGACTAAACCCGCTGCACAGCAAACGGAAAATTATAGAGGTGTATAGGATGACGCCACGTTTGAATATGGTTTTCTAAATCTCCCCACGGTCGAGCGTTTCAATACTCTCCACAGTATAGAGTATATATGTTCTGTGGTATAGAGGTCGTAATTTCACTTTTGAACTAGTATTAATATAAAAATTATTTTATGCTTAAAAAAAACTATATACGAGATGATTGTGATTTTTTTCATTTCATTAAGCTGTGTTGAATATTTTTCCTAAAGGAATAATTGCCAATGGGCCATTAATTCATTTGTTCGTATCTATAGATGCTACAATAACCTGCACTGGTGTGTACTTTTTGATCAACCAGATTTAAATATTGCTGTACTAACATATACCAGAGTAGACCCTGCACTATGCAGGGTCTACCAACAGACCTCATTACTAAATTATTAAAGTTTAATATTTAGCATATCGGTTATTTTATATAATACATAAATATACCTAACATCATATCCTCTGTGCTTTACATACCTGAGTTGTTACGGTAAATAAAAATCAGACAAAGGAACCAAAGAAAGGAACTATTTTCAACAAAATCATATGCAGAAATGAGAAAATTCAAACTACTTGCATCCATCAAAAGATCAAAACTTCTTGCAATATTACACCCTCTTTTTATACTCTCAGAAATATTGACTAGAACAGTATTAGAGAGACTCCAGTTTCTATAACTTGGTAGAGTAAAGAGAAGTCGAAACCGTTGCGATATTGCATTGCGCTGTTTTTGTATAATTCTCGGGGACATTAACGAAAATCATTGCCAGTAAAATTCGAAAAGCTTGAGTTTCTATGTCTCTGAAGAGAATAGGAATCCGAAGTTGCTGCACCATTGGACTGAACCCTTTTTTAATAATTTCTAGAGACATAAATGACTGCACCATTCGACAGGGTCGAGTTTCTACCTCTCTGTTGAATATAGAAAATCAAAACAATGTATCTTGTAAGACACCATTGAGTTTGACTTTAAATATAGTCGTGCATAGGTATAGACCCGAAAAATATAAAAACAAAGCACGATTCAATACAGTTCTGATAAAACCTTAAGATTTAATATTCAAACGGGGAGTCATAATCCTATACAGTTCTATATTTTTCCGTTTGCTGTGTGGCGAGACAAGAGCATAATTTTTCCGCGTTCTCAAATAAATGAAAATACTAACAGCAACAATTCCTAAGAAAACTTACCGGCGTGGAAAAAATGTGAATGCCATTCTTGGCGCTATCCCTGTCGATCGTGCAAGACAACGCGTAGCAACGCAGCGCCTTCGCTTTGATCGCGTCGTTCTTGTGCATCAACATTTCCTGTATGACATCGTTCTGCAACGATTGTAGCGCAGGCGTCATCTGCGTGATCTGCGTGGACAGGAGCAGGCCGGCTGCGATGTCCAAGTATTTAGCGATGGTGGGCGGGTCGGAGCGCTTTTCCACCACCTCGCCGCTGTCTTTCGTATCATTTTGCATTTGCACCAGCTGCGCTTGCAACTCATCGATGGTCAACTTCAGCTCGCCAGCTTTCGAGAAATTTTGGCTTTCTATGGCATCCTTCTGAAGGTCTGATAGGTTGTGAAGTTGGACTTTTAAGTTGGAAATCTAAAAAATATGTTTTACACATTTATAAGGATCAAATGAGAATCAAAAGCGGACATGTTACACAAAATTAGTTTTGGAAAACAGAACTGCAGAAACTTTCCAGGTGAAAGAAAATGATAATTTTAACATTGATGTTGATTTTCTTATACCCTTTTCACATAGATTATACAGATTTAGCATCCAATTGGATATTTAAATAACCCTGTAGAATGGTAGAGAAACTGTAGAAGAATGGAACGTACATTTTAGTTTTATTTTGCCAAAAATGCAACTTTTTGATTTTACGTCCTACATTCTCTTTAGGTCAACTGTTTAAATATGAAGGGTTTTGCATTAAGAGCGACGCATTTTCTTTTTTTAATTAAAACACTTGTGGGTACAATTTCCGCCGCGGAAGTCGCGATAGAACTTGAACTTTGATAAAAAAGTTGAATAATTTGCAACGTTTTTAAAGCGTGTAAATCTCCATGATTAAATGGCATAGACTGACGTTTCAAAATGTCAAAAACAAAATGCGTCGTTCCTATTGAAAAACCCTTTATACAGCCAAAATTTAAGAGATTCATTTATTAAAAAAAAAAAAAAAATCAAATTAAAATACACCATGTGACGCGATCCAAGAAAAGGGACAAAAATCAAGTTTTTACAGGAGAAGCTCGACTTTATAAATTAATACCAATGCCAATTTTTTATATAAACAAAATCAGTTTGAGGACACTAGGTCCCTTTTCTCAGTTGGCGCGACATATTTAGAATATACCTAAAAAAACAAATTTGAGATATGAATTGATAACAAGAAAGAGCGTAAACTTAAAAAAAAAGGATGTTCATGATTTTTTTTAATATGATATCAAATTTTTAACTAAAATAATGTCCTACTTAAAAAAATCGATTGATTCAACCAATATGAAATTTTTATAGAATACTTTTAAAATATTGTACTAGTTTCATAGTTCAAAATGCATTTTTGTGAAAATATTTTACTATTTTATATATTTTGTAAAATAATATATATATTCCCCCAAAAATGCATTTTAAACTTTTAAATTAATTTTAGAAAATGATTTGTCAAAATAAAATTTTTGGACTGTTCTTAATCTCATGAGCCGATTCAATTGTTTTTAAACAAATAATGATACCTGAATAGTTTTCAAGTTAATTTTTTTCGTTAAAATTTGAGAAATGCGCGTCAATCAAAAATAGCCTATAACGTTTTTCTTATTAGGTTTACGTATATGGGGGTGGAATTTTTGGAATCTTAAAACCTTGTTTAAAAGATTTTTTTATTAATTTACTATTTGATTATGTAAAAACATACTGGGTGTTACATTTAAATTAAAACTTAGCCTAGTTTTCCTGGGGTTTCTAAGGCAATTTGTTGAAAAAATGTTTAAGAATTGGAATGGAATCTTTTAAACAATTTGTTAAAATTCCACCGCCATATCCGCAAACCTAATAGCAAAAAAGTTATAGGCTATTTATGATTGACGCTCATTTGTGAAATTTTAACGAAAAAAAAAAACTCGAAAACTATTCACTTTAGGTATAGGTCATGGTATAATTGTTTTACTTTTATACAGAATTTAAAAATGTAAAAAGGGGGTGTTCTATTTGAAATAACAAAGTTGATGTCACTTTAGGCTAAACCGGAAGTGGCATTTTGTTTAAAATATTTAAATAAATATACGCTTTTCAAATTTTAAATCAATATTTTTTTTTTCGTTACCCAGAAACTTCTAATGGACCATAAATGTGAAACACACTGTATTTTAATTAAATAATCTAAAAATGTCGCTTTTTTAATTCTTTTTTGAGGTAGAAAACTTTATTTTAGCAAGATATAACATTAAAAAAGACAAATCATTTGGTAAAAACAACATCTTTAATTTTCATTATTTATCTAGATACAATTATTGTTTAATTACAAGATACAATAATTATTATTCTTGTATTTTGTACACTTTTATTTTCAATTATTATTTTGGGTCAGATTTAATTTAGATAAATATTTTTTACGTTTCATAAATAAATTTGATTTTTTTGACGATTAAAGTATGTATTTTGGTTTAAATTAATAAAGGTAGGAAGATTTTATTAATCCTTTATTTTTATTTTATTATCTTTTTGTAGAAAATCAATTTATAAACACACGTGTTTTATTTCAGTAAGAAGCTTATAAGAATATAATAAATGTATAACCAACTAACAACAATGCATTTTTTTGCTGGTTTCTTTTATCAATTCTTTTTGTTTTGCATTTTTATAGGCAATACGTATTCAAGTGTAAAATCTATTAAAGATAATGAAACCGTATGTATTTGTTTTTATATAAAAGACCTGTAAAAATATATTTTGATTAATTATTATTATTACCTATAATCAAAACATATTTTATCAATTCAATTGTTTTATTTTTTAGGGGTTTAGAAGAAAATCCAAGTAATCATAGACGACGATCTGCTAGAATTTTACAATCAACAATCAAAAACAAAAGGGATGCAAAAAATAAACCCAAGGAGGAAAAAAAGAAATCAGTAAAATTACAAAAATCGAATTTAGAGACAATTTTTGAGGACAGTGTTAGTTTGTCGAAGAAAAAATTCAGGAGGTTTATATGCTTTTCTAATTGCGAATCAAAAATAAAGAAGAGAAAAAAGAAAATTAAGAAAGCTTTTAATAAGAAAATCGCGTTTACAAAGTTAAGTATGGAGTTGTTGAAAGAAAAATTAAAAGCTCTCAGTGATTTTAATTCATAAACATGAATTATTTTTTTTAATTTTCAAGGTCGCATCTGTCAAAACTGCTATGTGAAGGTCATGTTATCTTGAATGACAAATACATTTGTACATGTAATATTTATATACATTTGTACATGTAAAATTACAAATACATTTGTACATGTAAAATTTTAAGTCAGTTAATTTAACTGTTAAATCTGTCAAAAATTGACGTTTTAAGTTGTGTCGACTTAATATAATAAAGTGATTATTGTTTTAAAATATTAAAAGTGTTTTTTAAATATAAAATTTATATTTAATAAACAAAAATAAATAAAATTACCTTTATATTAACCCCCCCCGTCATTATCCAACCACCTGTTATTTTTTTGTAATATTTTTTTAGTAATTATGACAGTTTTAAACCTTAATTTTGCGATTATAACAATTAATATTGTTGATTATTTACATTTTACTACATTGGCTGAATTTTTTGTTAAGGCTACTGTTATTTATTTATCAAACTCTTTAAATGGTAGGTACCTCCATTATCTCAATTTAACTAATTACGTTCTTTTAAATCGATCTGCCAAAAAAATTATTCTTATTCTTCTATAGTTAGTAACTTGAAATTTGGCACATTTTTTTTTAATTTTCTTTTTGAGGCAGAAAACTTATTTTGACATTGCAGTTCCAATACAGACGGGAAGGCGAACAGATGTGTTAGAGCTCGAGCGTATACCTAACCACAATAACTAAAACCTTGCAATAATCAATCATTATTACCGAAAACAGAGTAACAGTGTAAAAAAAATAAACAAATAACAACGCGTTGTTGACGTTGCAACGTCACAAAATATAATTTAGCATAAACTTAAGAGGCCAGCCCCATAAATTTAAAGTGTTTAAAAGTTACCGAAACTAAAATAAACAGGTCTCTTAAAGGAGCACGTAAATAAGAAGAAACCTAAACACATAAAAGTCAACGCAGCCAAACAAAGGGCAACTAACGACAAATTAGTTTACGCACAGTGGGATAACATAATTTGTGTGTATATGTTATCAGTTTAAAAGTTACCGAAACTAAAATAAACAGGTCTCTTAAAGGAGCACGTAAATAAGAAGTAACTTAAACATATAAAAGTCAACGCAGTCAAACAAAGGGCAACTAACGACAAATAAGTTTACGCACAGTGGGATAAAATAATTTATGTGTACCTGTTATCATTTTCAGTAGGTTAAATAAAGGCGGGCAAAACAGCTGCATAATATGAAGTCTGTACTCGGCATGGGAGGTTGAATTTCCACGAAGGCAGAGGGCACTACTTACGGTGTGTAGTGGCCAGCAACACTTCGGTACTGAAGACAAGATTCAGTATCTACAGGGGGGCACAATTCTAAAGCGTTTGCCAGGAATCCGAAAGACACGAACAGGAAGTAGACCAACAAAGATAGGTCCTAGCAGCGTACTAAATCCCTGGCTGAGGAGGATTCCGGATTGTACCTAGATGTTTTCCCTCCTTCTCCTGCAATCCACTAGCCTAAATTGGGCGTATGACCCGACCCGGCGACAAAATTCCGAGAATGGCCTTAATCAACTACATTGCAATGTAGTTGATGACATGTCATCGCAGTTGAGGGATTGAGGAAACTTTATTTTAACAATTTAAAAATATATTTTTTTAACGTACTATAATTTTCATATTATAAGACTCATAAGTCAATATAGAAAGACTTAACATTAATATTAGTTTAAATGTCAAATTATTATTAAACCACTAAAATGACTTCATGTCCGTTGAAACTAATTTAAAAAGTAAATCAATAATTAGTAAACACTGATAGTCTTATTAGGTGCACCAAAAGCTATTTCTTTTTAAAACTATTTTTAAATGTTAAGAAGAAAATGAATTTTAGCTAAATAAATGTATTATATTATCAACAACCAATTGAAAAAACATCAGAATAGAGGCGCGCATCGGCAATTGTTATATTACGCACAGGGTTATTCCGTATATTTAGACAGCACAAATTAGTTAGTTCTAGATTATTTTTCAAATAAAAATAATAAATTAATACATATAAATCATTAATGTAGTTCAAACCATTTGTTTTTTCATGGCAACTAAAATGTGCCAAGGCAATACGAGCCCTAACCACATAATGTTCGGACACTTCATAATTTATACAGAAATTTTTTTCGTGAATACTATCTCAAAATTATTAGAAGTTATGAAAAATTCAGCTTATTTTTAGCTTTTAAAAAAAGGCTAACTTTTTAAC